CCGTGGAGACACCGTCTCCATTAGAGAAATGTTCATTTCCAATCGCTCTCCAGATATGCCAAGAATCCCGCATGCATACGCTTAAAACATATGCTTTGGTCCAACATCCAGACTTGCCAGAATGCGCTTTCTACTTCAATCCCCGTCAGGACCTTCTCTGGTTTAGTTGCGATATCGCAAGCGACACTAAACGCCTTATGGAGCTACAAGATTCCTACCAGACTTCTATTAATCAATTCAGGATTCTTCTCGTTGAAGACACAGAATGGGAAGGATGGGATTGGAGAGCATCTTCTTCCCCAGTCCTGTCGATCCTCCCTGCTCTACAGATTGTTGTACTGATAGATGATGACTATGACGATGACGGTACACTAATCACGCACAGTGCTGAGGAATACCAAGTGTGTGCTACCGAATACCAGAATGATAACTATACGTTCTTCGAGTCCATGGACCCCGGATATCAGCTTGAGTATATGGATCGTGGTGGAAATTCTTACCTCGGTACATATATTCCTCACAGAATGATTGATGCCAAGTCGCAAGCAAAACCATAATACCTTACGAGCCATCCCGGACTGAACAGCTGCACCAACGTTGGCGTCTTCCAATATACTATCCTGCGGGAGGACGTGCCAAGCCTGCCGTCTCGTTTGCCAAAGTCTCGCGCCAAGACTACCCAGGCCACTCTCTCATGGTCCAACTCAACGTCATCTCACCGCCTCACAGTCACGTGGAATGATATCACGTGGTGGGTGTTGTTCCTGTTTTGCTTCCCTTCATTTCAGGGCCACAGCGTGCGGGAGCGCGCGTCTCGCGCCAAGATGTATTTCATGTGCCTCACTGTCACGTGGTAGGCGCTGATCCTGTTTTTCGTTTCAGGGTCTCGGCATGCGCGTCTCGGTTGTATCACGTGAAATTACTATAATGTTACTTGGAGAAGACTAGATAAATCGGGAAAGGTTTGGACCCACACTCCTACGGTTTGGAAAGTTCTGGACGGCGTTGGGTTCTCATAAAGCTCGCTCTCATCTCCCTGAGATACAACTCCGCAACCGATAGCTCGTCATGGACGATGTAATCAATATCTGGATAAATCAGAGGCTGCAAGAGCTTCTCACCCTCTGCGGGGTTAACAGTAGCAGCCATGAGCCGATCGAGAAAGATATTGCCAATATTACCAACTACAGTGAGCGAATAGCCGTTTCTCCGATTCCAGGCTGACACCTACCCAGTCCATACAAAACGACTTGAAGCCGGGTTGAGAGATACCCCCGAGTCTCTTCTCGAAGCGACCAACCCTGCCGCGCCTCTGACACCCCCAATGACAGACGGGGGTCGTACCGATTGTTGTCCTCCGATAAGAAGCGAGTCTATTCTGATTTCCAAGGACTGACGAGCCCGCGGAAGAAAAAGAGATCAGATAAAAAGAAGCCGAATAAGAAACTCGAACCTGCATCCAGATCTGCTGTAGACGGCCAGCGATCGGAACTGGAATCAGCAGCCACGAGCCCTTCGGCCGCATTACATGATAGCGAAGTCATCGGGATGATATGTCCCCCTCGAACAGCCACGCCGACTGTCTTCCCAGCATCAGATGGGCGTGTAGAAAGAATGGACTCGGACAACACCGGCCAATCAACTTGCACTTCGAGTGTCACTATTCAGCCACCTGCGCCACCCCTTCAAGTAGCCGGGTTAAACCTTGATAGTGCGGCATTGATCATGCCCAGTTTGCTCTACAAGTGTGTCAAGATGAAATCGACCATAGGGATCTATGGTCATCGAACTACGAACATCATTGCGACCAATGAAACCGAGAAAATTCGAGAGTATGCGACGGAAATTTCTCAGTATGAATACACGGAAGCCATCCGGGCGATCAAAAAGGACAAAGCTATGTATGCTGGCAAAGGCCTTCAGATCAATTATACCGAAACCATCTACTGGGATATCATTATGAAAGGAGCCAGACTTATCAATCCGGCAACGCTACCAGTGGTGAAAGGTCCACCCGATGAGTTTACTATGGCTGAAAAGGTTTCAACTAAGAAATTCATGTGCGAAGCCGGATATGCATCCGGTCTGGAGAATCAACGTCAGTATCGCAAACTTTGGAAATCCCTCTTTGAGATGCGTAAAGCTGGAATCGACAAGATCCTCTTTTATCGATCCAAAGAATTTGACAAGTATTGTAAGGAATATCCGAGAAAAAGTGAACATACCCTCTTGGACACGATCACATCATGGGAGAAGGTTTATGGACCGCAAATCGATCAACTGGAAACTCGTGTGAAGCATCTGGTCAGGGGAGACGCGAAAGGTTCGTCAGTCTTGAGTCTGCCACACGTGGAAGAAAAAATAAAGATCCAACCAGCATCCTGGAACAATGCTACCAACGTTTGGTTCTTGGCTGAGGAAGAGACTGCTTTCAAGCTTGCAGGTGGGCCGATGGTGGCTGCGGATGACCCTGTATGGGGATTGTTCGATCATCAAGCGCTATCAGAAAGTAAGCATAATAAAACTCTCTTCATAACTCTTCTACCCAAGAATGAGCATAATCTGGCTGTTTGCCCGATCGTGCCTGTTTATCCAGGGGATTTCTTAGGGATCTTTGCGGGGACCATTCGATTCTCCGACGATTTTAACAGAGTTCAGGGGATCCATGGGCCTATGGAAAAGCTCTGGCTAGATTATTCGAATGTCACCGGAGTGCTGAATCAGATGAAAGTCTCGAAACCCGGTGGGGAGGCCAACGTACAAATCCGCTGGGAGTTAGTCAACATGGAAGACGAAGGGGAGCCACGTATTTCCTGGACGGTGTCCGTCAGAGCTCTGAAACCCATAAAGCCATTCGAGGAGGTCGTTCGCGAAGCTCCCCAGGAAGAACAGTACCTTTTCCATCAGTCTGCGGCACATGCTGGTCAGGGCTTTCTCAAAGCTATATCGTAATGTCCAAGGTTTGTCTTGTGATTTGGCCTAATGCTTGAAACTAAGGGTATTGGCAACAGGTTGATTCTAACTCTACTTGTATTAGCACAGGGTAAAGTCACCGTAGATTCACGCATCCACCTTCCAAATATAGTACAGTTTTACGAAGGCACCCTTTTGTGAATAGTAGGCTGCTTTTTCTATTTGCGTAGAAGGAACATGATTGGCTCGTACCGTAGGGCCCATCGGTTCTTGCAGGTCAGACGGCCCCAGTGTGAATATATCATTATTTGCACCTATACTAGGATAAGCCCATGTAGCTGGATAGTATTCACTTCTGGTGATACAGTATTACAACTACTATACAATCATCCATGCTACCGATACAGTACTTAGACCAGATACATCAGTCCATGAACTTAGGAATGATACATATTTTTCATCCCAGAACGTACAAGGAATAACATCGGAAATCACCAACTGATTCTGAGAATGTCTCATTCGTACTTAGAAACTTAGACTCTATACCCGGGATTTCACAATCAATTGCCGGAACTTTGATGTATTTTTCTGGAGCTCGACAAAGAGTTCTTGGGAATTCCATCCTCGTTCCCAGAAAAGTCGCGTTCGTTTGTAGAAATACACCGGCTATTTTCAGGACCTTAGTATTCTCTAAAGTCAATAATGTGCTTTTAAGAAGCAAAATTCGTCCAGGCCCAATGAAATTTTCAGTTGGCCATCAATCTTCACAAGTGGGCTGATGGTGAATCCGTACGGCATTAAGTGACCGGGCATTTTTAATAACCACATTGACGTCATATGCCAAAAGAGTTAGCGTGGGTATTCTGGCTCCTACCGTGAACCGCGTATCCGCGTGTCCTCAATCATGGGCAGGCGACCTGGCTGGTGATAGAATCATGTTTCATCCTGCATTTGGGCGAAAATCCAGCAGAATAGTATTTGTTCCATCAATATCAATCGGCCGGGCAAAAAATTTTGAGCCAAGCTTATATTTCGGTGGAAACAAACGACCAAATGACCGCACTCCCAGGGACAGCAGTGATACGTTAACGCATTTCTTCAGTGTGGGGCCTGGTGAAACAGGTGAAAATCACGGTTAATCGGTCAGATCGTCTCTATACTGCCGGCTGGTTTCTGTCATGCGGTGATGTGATTATCTACCTGGAAGTGAGCGATTGATTTTTTGACGCCATGCGAAGATTGACCAGTTGCTTCGCTCCTCCAACAGCCAACTTTGCATAAAGATCTCATGATTGAATATTGGGAGATGAGTAGTAAACCAAGTATGAATCCGTCTACGGAAGATGATGAATGAACAGCATACAAAGAAGTCACGGGCGGTACAGAAGTCCGATGACACCGCATTGCAAGCGATCTCGAAATCGAAAAGACAACGGCGCCAGCTACGAGATCGACGCGGCCGGACACTCCTGAAAAAGGCATATGAAATGAGTTATCTCAGCAATGCCGATATCTTCGTGGGAATCAGATATCGAGAGACAGGACAAATCAAGACTTTTAGCGCAGATAAAACAGGTATTTGGTCTGTATGCAACTCATATCTGGTAAGGAAACCCCCATTTGATATTACATATCTAATAAAGATAGGACTCATGCTACCCCGTGCCGGACCGTAAAACACCCGATGATTTTAGGCGCCAATGTACAAACCCGCAGGATCAATCGAGCAGCGATGGAGGTACTGGTAGGAACAAGAGACTTACTGATGGTCTAGCAGCTAAGCCGGCGAAATGACATGCATGTTATTCTTCGATGTTTCATTGGACCATCTCAGTAATTTACGTCTAGCTGGTGAAGTTGGACGATCCCTTAGGCTATTACACTCGATTGCACGAACAGCTTGACAATCTCACCCTATGCCCTGTTTCAGAAATACCTGTGCTAAGCCATTCTTGGCTAGAACAGTAACTTTTAACTAATAGAAAAATATCATTTCTGTTAGTAGTAGAGATTTTAGGTCCTGGTGGTAGCTTGGTAACCAACGAAGAATTATTCATTTAGCCTATTATTACGTTAACAATTCCGCTAACCTAGTGGCGTAACGGTAGCGCGTCTCTTTCCTATATATCTACATATGCATAGGAGAAGGTTGTAGGTTCGATTCCTACCTTGGTTAATCCACATTTTTATATCTTTTTTTAGGCACAATCTAGAAAAGAGAACGCATAATCACTCAGTTGTCAAGCTGATTGTGCAATCTACTGTATCTCTAAAATCCACCTGCAACAAGTCTTAAATATGTTGGCTTCTTAGTTTTAGACATGATTCCCTCAATATGAGTTGGACATCCCTAACTATTAGCTAAGCTGCCTAACCCTAACAGGGCCAAAGCGTGCAATGGCACGCGCAACTAGTGTATCACGTGAAATCCTATAATGCTACTTGGTGAAGTCCAGAAAATCGGGAACGGGTTGGAACCATACACCTACACGATTATTGTTTTGAAAAGTTCTGGATGACAGGGGTTCCCATATACTGTATGTTATGTGAAAATTAAAACAAGGCATATCAAGACTGAAACCAGGGATGAAGCGTCATTGATATAGGACATAAAGTTACACCCCACTGTAAATTGAAGAATCTGGTTTAGCCATAAACTAACTGCTTTTGATGTACCTCCGCGGGAAATCATGCCTACTTTTCCGAGATAACATGTCTGCACCTGGGAGATGCTGTAGACCCTGAAAAAAAGTGACCTATGAGTCATATCTAGGCAACAACATGTGGGGCCCGCTAAAAGCAACCGTTGAACACCCTGGTGAAAACAGATAATTGGCCACATTGCCCATCTGTTTAAAAATTGCACACCGCCAGACCCACACACACTTTGCCCTCCGAATACAACGCCCCGACTATAGTGTCGGAGCTGTTTATTTTTTGGATGATCCATCGGTTATTGTGTTTTCTATTTCAACAGGGCTATAATTTGCTCGTGCTCTTCAATGTTCATCTATTTTTGTTCAACAATCAATACATGTTTAATTTTATCACAATTTGTGTTCATTTGATGGCGTGGTTAACTGATAATCAACGGGCAAAGCCCGCGTGTTCAGTTTCTGGAGGTTGTCAAATCCGCATGGCTGACGACTGAGTTACATGGACTTAGTTACATAGAGCAAAAAAGGAAAACAAATGAAATAAACATAATCAAGACCAGATATTGAATTCACCAGTCAGCTGAAAGGTTGATCAACTCGGTATGAGGACTGGCGCTGCGTAAGTATCACGAGATAGGGTAATAGCCCTAACTCCAAGCCACTAGCAGACCCCCAATCTAGCAACGGCAGGTCCAGGGGGGCTAACTTATCCGCTCCCAGTAACTTTTCTCCGCTCGCTCGCTCAAACCATCATGCGCCAACGATCCGAAGCCCGACGGCCGGGAAAGAACCGGCCACAAAATTTTGACTAATGTGATGAATATCCCGGCGGCTGTGATGCTTCAACAGGTTACAGAAGCAAATGATTTGTCAAATTAATCTCTAACACTAAATATAAACAATACGTATCGTGACACAAGTAATCATATGCGTACCGTAGGAACGAAAGTCTCCTAGACGCTGGATGGCGTATGGTGTTGTAATGATGGCCCACCCAAGAATACGATCCAGAGAATGTTCAATAAAATTATGTATCCATACAGGGCCTTTTGGGCGACCACCTCTATTGACTGTTCAGTCTAAATTTGGTAAATCTTTTTGACAAGCCCTAAAGATATGTTGATTTCCAATAAATTAAACAGACCTAAGAATTGCTTATTCAAATGCCCTCCGTTTATGAGGGAATACAGTTTTTTACGGTGCTTAATGTTCAATTAATGTAAGATGCTGCCCACCAAAAAAGTTTTAAACATTCAACACGATATCTGTATATAGTTTAGGGAGGTACATTACAGCGGGCTGAAAAAGTGGGGGCCCTACAAAAGAACGTTTAAACATGGTTTTATCAGACCAAAACGACATCTGTTTAATTAAACGGTACATTTACACTGGGTGAATGTTATCCGCGGTGTAAGAAAATTACCAGTGCTATATATTTTTAAACAGTTTATATTGGTCTGTTATATTATCATATAACGGGACGGTTTTATTTGACTCTTCATACATAATAACCGGCCCTACGTTTACTGCGGGGCCGGTCACCGAATCAGAAGCTGGGTGGCTAAATTTCATTGAGACGCCGTCTGAAAGGATAGATGGAGCAGTCTATGAATTTATTTTAGCACATGTTGACTTGCCTATCGGTTCAACAACTCGTCACCGGGATTTTGTGAATCGAAGGTAGATAATATATTCACAGAAGGCAAGAGAGAACGGCTGTAAGACAATCCAAAGGGCTGTAGAGTACAATCGCAATGATAGGCTGCAAAGATAATGAAGATTCCTCGTAGTGCGCTAGAAGGAACCCTGAACGCTCTAGTCTGTAATGGGTTAGCATTGCACCTCTCGTTTTTCTGTATAGCCCTGATATGAAGCATCCGTTGCTGCTGAGTTACCTATTCTTCTGATAATACGTCGAGCCCGCTATTTTTATGATGCATATCTCTAGATACTGTATACAGTATTTCTCTTCACTGTGCTCTCTCCTGTTTTCACTTTTGAGCATCCGATAACATCAGTCCCGTCTACAGTAACATGGGATACGCAGCCCAGGTGCGAGATAATGCCGGGATGGACATCCCCAGATGTGAGGGGCTGAGAGGAGGTCTCGATCAGATAATGAACGGTATAAGCTATAGTGACTATCTGAGAGCTAATACTCAGGTTTAGTAACGAGACATAGTACGAAGAAGAGAAATCTATCTAGATACATGCGTCGATATAACAAGGGGCTCAACGTATCACGTGACATAGTGGTCACGTGCAATGCTTGAGTCGATATAACAATGCTTGAGTTGATATCGTGACACCAGATCCCCTCGATCCTAGGAAGCCAGCATTCCTGGGACTGTCTATCTGGGATTGGCAACCCAGGTGCGACATAATACTGGGAAGCCAGCATTTCTATGACTGTCTATCTGGGAATGAGTGATTCTGGGGAAGGGTGTCCGGAGACAATTAGGGTCGTAGAATATATTGCCCAAGATAGAAAGGCAAACTGATCAAATAGGCTCATTCGTCTTGACCTCAGCTCAAATGTTTTATTACCATCTATCAAAGCTAGATTTTATTGTGAATGGTTTCGAGCAGTCGATCATGGCAAGAATAGATTGACAAATGACACTTGCGGATATTCTATTATGTAATAACCAGGGCCCCTAGAACTAATTAGGAAAAGCGGGAGTGTTTTTAGCAGGTCTCCTCCCAGCAGTTCCCGTCGCATCTACGGTACCACCCCTGTTAAATTTTACAAAACTGGTGCACTACAATTTGGACGATCTTATCATTACATTGTAGATATGCCGCTGGAAAGAATATTTATTGCAGTGCTACAAATGCCCGGACACGGAGGATAAACGGGCCTTAGGACTGGTCTGGTTTCTGATTGGACATCTCCTAGCCCCAATTATGGTTAGCTCGCCAGGCTCGGCGCCAACAAAGTCGACCTCGTCGCTCCGCCGCCAAAGAACTCAACTTCTTCCTCCATGGATGAAACAATGTTTGTATAATCTATCTTTATCAAGTACTAAACCCGAGCTTCTTCATTCTGGTGGACTATGACCATGAAGCGCGCGCACTCTCCCTCTAGACATCACAGCGACCACCACGAGCGACCAG